ATATTATTTTCTTCTGTAGCGTTTATATCTATAAGAATGAGTAGGGTTCTCCAGGCTGGGCATGGTGGCTCACACCTGTAATCCCAGCACTTTGGGAGGTTGAGGTGGGTAGATCACAAGGTCAAGAGACCGAGACCATCCTGGCCAACATGGTGAAACCCTGTCTCTACTAAAAATACAAAAATTAGCTGGGTGTGGTGGCATGCACCTGTAGTCCCAGCTACTCGGGAGGCTGAGCAGGAGAATTGGTTGAACCCGGGAGGCAGAGGTTGCAGTGAGCCGAGATCACACTGCTGCATTCCAGCCTGGCGACAGAGCAAGACTCCATCTCAAAAAAAAAAAAAAAAAAATGAGTAGGGGTCTCCATCCATTTGTTTTCTACAACAGTCCAGTCCCTCCATGCATTTTGTATTATGCCTCCGATGCTCATGATGACTGTAAGGTAGGTCTCCATGTCATAAATGAGGAAAGTGCAGCTCAGAGAAGCCCAGTGGCCTGTGAAATCGGTGCTCCTTAGGCAGAGCCAGCCCACTCGCTCAGTTGTATGCCGTCATCCTTTCTGTTTACCACACTGCATCATCTACCTGGTTGCTAAGCCTCACTTGTTTTTTTGACTCTTCTGTTCTGCCGAAGGTTTAATTAAACTTTTCTTTTCTGAAATAATTTCATAGGTTGATGTTCTTAAGGCGACAGCACTCCCTTTGTTGAAACAATTTGGGATTGATGGTGAATCATTTGAACTGAAGGTAAGAATGTTTGAACTGTTGACCATATGTTCCTGTGGAGAACATTTTCCCACTGACTCACTGGAAGAGCTGTGTGACTCAGTGTATGTGTGTCACATTTGAGGTCACCGGTTATCAGAAGACTCACAGGGCTCATGAAGTAAACGCTACAGACTTGGAACTGCAAGGGACCCTTTAGTAATAACAATCGTAGCTGACAGTTCTATTGCACTTACTTTGTGGTAGGGGCTGTTCTAAGCAGTTTACAAAGACTAACTCCTTTTCTCCTCGCAACAGCTCTGCCCATGTCCCTCAGCTAGCAAGCAGTGGAGAATAGATTTGGGCCATATTGGCTTTCTGATCTAAATGATCTGGACATAATTTATGTTCAGGGGCTCCCAGCCTGGATGTCCCTGAGAATTTTCAGTATTTCCAAAATCTAGTAGAAGTAGTTTAAGCATCTGTATATTGTTGAATTATATCAGTCCAATGAGGTAAACCATTTAGCATCTCTGCCTTTTACATTCATGTTTTAAACGGGGGAAATTACTTCATTTTTATTTAATAATGTTTTGGTAGATCAGTTATTTGCATGGGAGGAGAAAAAGGGGTTTCTGATTATTAAGAAATGGGCTCCGATGATGGACTAGGTCAGCTCCATATTTTAAGGATAAAGAAATGACCTGTTCAGGGTTAAAGAGGTGAGTGGCACAGCCACTTGGGTAATGGACTTGGACTTTGACACACGCTGAGCGTGTACTCTCTAGGAGCCAACATAAGGTGCTGTTGGTCTTGAAGGGAATGACAGATTGAATATGGAAGAGCTATGCCTTGTAAGGAAGCATCTGCTGGTGTAAACCTTCCTGGGCAGGGTGTCAGGGTAATCCATTGCTTTGCTGCATCCTCGCCTCATCTTTCTCACTCTCTGTGTAGATTGTGCGACGGGGAATGCCTCCTGGAGGAGGAGGCGAAGTGGTTTTCTCATGTCCTGTAAGGAAGATCTTGAAGCCCATTCAACTCACAGATCCAGGAAAAATCAAACGTATTAGAGGAATGGCGTATCCTTTCCATTTATTTGGATTTCTTTTTTTTTTTCTTGCCTCACTAAGATAAGAATGACTAACAGCTTTACTTCTTCCCGACGTTATTTACATTTTAAACTACAACTTTGAAAAGTCTTAACAGTGAAATCATAATTGCTGGCTGAGTTAGGATGTTCTGTTATCTGCCTCACCATGACTAGATTGATTGAGTCATTCTTTTTTTTTTTAAATTTTCCAGTTAACATTTAGTCTGTGATGTATGTGATCCTCTCTCAAGTGCTTTGGTTTGGGGACCATGAATATACTGCAGTTCCTCCCTCAGAAGAGGTCATCATTCGGTGAAGGAGCCAAATATGAAAACACACTGTTCTGATATAACATGCAAAATGATGTGTGCAGTGGGGTGGGGGCCTGGAGTAGACAGTGGTCAATTTTGTCTGGAGGACCTAGGGAGGCGGGAGTAATCATAATGAACAATACCTACTATTAAGTACTTACTCTGCGGTAGTCCCTTTGCATGCTTTTAAGCCTCAGATTGACTCTTGAGTTCACTTACATCCTTTTTTGCAGATGGGGAAACTGAGACTTCAAAAGCTTAAGGAATTTGTTAATAACGTCACACTGCAGAGCTAGGATTTGAACCTTGTCTGTGTGACTCTGAAGTACAGGCATTTAATTTTTACTTTTTCCCATAGAAAGGAGCCTTGAAGAACAGAGGATTGCAAAGTAGAGTGAGAAAGGAGGAGTGCTTCAGGTAGAAAAATGGGCCTGAGCAGAGGTGGCAGCGCACAGTGGTTCTAGCGAATGGCAAGTAATGAAGTGTGACCGGATTTCAGGTTGGTCTATGGCATTTGATGGTAGAATGGGGCATGAAGACAGGCAGGAGCCAGTGAAGAGCTGAAGGTGGCTGGAATCAGATACTGTGCAGAATGCAAAGAAAGGATGGTGGAACCCTGTGAGGCCACCAAACCTTGAAAGCAAGAGTTAAGTAAGGAGGGAAGTAAGAGTGGGGAAGAGGATACACAAAACATAGCTTCCTGGAAGCTCAGGTCAGCACCTTAAAAGGCCCTGACGAGTTAGCATTGGGGTGGGGGAAAAGCTGAGGGACTCAGCAGCAGGCTGCCACTGATACCCTGGGGAAGAGTGCTGGATCTCGATCCTGAGGGACTAATTCTGGGTTGTGGAGTGAAGGGGAGGGAAACGGCGGCTTGTAGGGACCACTGTTTACAGAATCTTGACAGGAAAGAGAAGGAGAAGGAAGGATGAGGTGGTAACTTGATGATGCGAGAGTGGGGGAGACTTCCTTTTACAAAAAGATTGGTAAGGATTTGAGTGTTTTTGTAGGTTGTTAATGCCGATGAAGCAAAGTAATGAGCTGATTAAAAGCCCGGGTGCTGGAGTCAGAAAGACGTGGGTACTGATGCTGACTGTGCCACTCACCAATGGAAACATTTTGGCCCTAAGCCTTGGTTGCCTATATATCTTGGTCCTGTTATAACTGCTGTGTGGGACTCTCATGAAGGTAAAGTGAAATTATAGTTGCACAGTAGCAGGCACTGGTGTGTAAGTAGCTTTGGGTAAATGGTTGCTACTCTTCTTTTTATTCTTATTTGAGAGGGGATGGATTCTAGGCCACAGGCATATGGTAAGAGTGGCTCCAGGTAGAGCTGTGTGGAGGTGAGGTGAGTGGAAGGGGGTTGGGGTGAGTTTTTCAGTTGTTACTGAGTTAGGATGGGATTGAGGGTAAGGGGGTGGGCAGGGTAGGATAAGAGAGTGTGACAAGGATGGTAAAGATGTGCCTTCACAGTGGGGCATCATAACTGAAGATAAGAAAAAGGCTGTAGAACAGCACGAAGGTCCTGGCCGAAGGTGAAATGTTAACACAGTGCCAGCTGCATGGCCATGTGGCTATGTCCAGTGGCAATTGGCAGCCTAGAGGGAGGAGTAGAGAACGTGGGAGGACCCATTTCATCCAAGGATGGATGCAGGTTGGCAAGGTGGGTGGGTCCTACAGGGGAACAGTTGGAGAGTGGGTGCTGGAGCATCGGGAAGTCCATTCCTCACTGAGGATCGTCACAGGGGCTCACCAGCCTGGAGAAAGCAGGTCAAGGGACGAGAAGCTTTTAACAGGTTTAACGATCAGGTCTAGTGGAAATAGATACATGTCCTGTGTAGGACAAGAGATTGTGTTTAGTGAGTTTTGTTTTGGGATTTCAGATATTAAAAGTGGTAAAATTCTAGGTGCTGACAGGATCTGAGTGGGGACAGGTGTTGGAGGCCATAGAGCAAGATGGGCTGTGGGATGACTTTCCTGGCGGGGGTGTGACAAGGAGGGGTAGACCAGAAGGCCTGCTTCTCAGGGCTGGAGTGGATGCTTAAGGTCAGGTTTTGTATTTCTCAGGAGGTTTGGGGATGGTCTTACTTGGAGGAAGAGAGGTGTAGCGTGGACTTTGTTTTCAGAGGCCTCAAATAGCTTGAACAGTAAGTGGTGAAGGGCAGGGAGTAGGGTGGGCTGCAGAGTCATGGGCAGAGAGAGTGCTAGTTAAGATAGAAGCTCAAACTTGGGTTGCTGCCTGACGTTCTTTTTAAGGATTATCAAAAGCACAGGAATACATAATAACAAAGCCTTCCTGGATTATGGTCTGTTCTTTGCATGGCTGTCCCCTAACCCATGTAAGTGTCAAGCCTTGTGTGTACCAGGAGAGAATGGGCAAAAGGAGAAATGTTCCTTTCCTAGGAGCCCTGAGGTTGATGTATAGTTAAATTGCCTAGGCAACTTTCTAAGGTGATGTTCAACTCTAATATCCAAATCAGAGGAGCTGGAATAAGGTTAATGAGGTTAGAAAGAAATGGAAATGCAGTGTAACTAGGGTGTGTTTTTAAAGTCAATGTGCCTTTTCTACTTGAATTCATTCTTATTAACAGATGCATTGTATTCCACCATTGATGCCCCACTGTGAAGGCACATCTTTACCATCCTTGTCACCCAAAATCAAACCCTGTTGATGGCCACTGAGTTGTTTTTTGCTTTTCACCATTGCCAAATACACTGCGGTTAATGGCTTTAACCGCAACATTTTTGGCAATGGTGAAAAAAAGTGTAATAAGTGTACAGGAATACACTTTCCAATACATTCCAATAAGTGTACAGGAATACACTTTCCAATACATTCCAATAAGTGTACAGGAATACACTTTCAGTACTATTTTGGGTTTGTCTAGGGGGTGGTTGTTTTTTTTCCTCCTTATTTGAGATGTGTTTCCTTAATGCTGTATTGGCGGCAGTAAACTTTGTTTGGAATCCAGTCTCTGTAGTCTGGAAATGTGATTTCTGGCAGTGTGCTCTGTTTTGACACAATCTTGTCATAACAACATGGGTTTCATCACAGTGGGGTCCCCCTTGTTCTCTCTGGGTGTGCAGATGGCTCGTGTCCTTTGATGATGGTGCTGGGAAATGGGGAAGGGTTTTCCAGGGGAGAATATGAAAGTTATAAGAGCTGCGGTGCCGGGCACCTTGGGTGTAACTTTGTTCCTCCCTGACTTCTCCCTCTAATGTTCTTGGAACCTTCCCTGTGTAGAACCTGAGCCAGGAAGATACTTGTGAGGTCCCAAGTTCTTTTCCTCCCTGGAGGCAGGGGATAGGACACAGAAATCATTCCCAATATACCTCTGACTGGTAGAGGTTTCCTCCCAGCTCCCCAGGAGAGTTGACACAGTGCCCTTGCTCAGATCCCTGTCTGTAAACCAAATGTTTCAGCCACTGCTCTGCAGAGCTGCCCATTTCACAAACACCTCAAAGGAATGTTGATTTGAATGGAGATCACCCTCTTCTCCAGTTTTGGAGCCTGGGAAAAAAAGAGCTGCCTTTGGAAAAAGCTTGAGTTGGTTTTGCGGTTTTTTTCCTTGCAAGGCTTATTGACTACTGGACTAAGCTTGGAGGTTGTATTTCCCGTAGGAGGGCTCAGATTGGGAGAATGAGGCTCACTCTCTTGTGTGCATTTGTGGTCTTAACTGAATTACTTCCAAAGTGTATCTTTTCCCTCTTGCATTCTACAAGATGACCTACCAGCCAGGGCCCAGAGGGAGCCGGTGTTGGTTCCTGCCAGCAGCTGTGACTAGACAGTAGTTACCTTTTATTTAATGCCACCCACTCTGTTTCTCACCCTTGCCTTATGTGGGGCGTAAGAGAAAGGAGCATTCTGTTTCAGTTTTGCAGTGCTATCCTAGGAGCTCATGATTTGGTACATGAGAATTAAGTGAAAAAGCTGGCAGTAAAGGGGGTTAAGTTGGAATTTGTGGGATAATCTAGTTTCTTTTCCTTGACTGTAGGGAAGGTACTTTGAGAATCAAGCTATCTTTCTTTATCTCCACCTACTGTAACACATACACATATCCCTCTTAGCTTTCTCTGACATGGAACATTGGGGAAGGGGAAGAGTGGGAGTCCTATATGGACTGTAGCTATGGACTTGTACATTGGTATTGGTTCTTAATATGGTTTTCATAAATGGGCTTTAGGAGGTTCATAAACCTGAAAATTTTTCTGCAAAATTGTAAGTATATATGTTTCTCAGGAGAGGGTCCATAGCTTTCATCAGATTCCCAGAGAGTTCTCTGATTCCTGAAAGAATAAGAACCTCTGCTTGGGATTTGAATCTTGGATGAGTAATAAGAAAAGCAATAGCTGACATTTGCTAGGCTCCTGCTACACACTAGGCATTAAGAGCTTTACATGCATTTTATTTCATTTGCGCCTCCAAACTCTGTAAGGAATGTGTTATGATTATCTTTCTTTTACTGATTAGGAAATGACGTCACAGAGAAGTTAGCACAATTAACCTGGAATGATGCAGCTTGCTGGAGCTGGGACTTGAACAGAGATAATCTCATTCTAGAACTTGGGGGCTCTTAGCCATTCTTTAGTAGGACATGCATACCAAGCCAATGGTTCTAAGCAACTCGATGTATCTGGCTTTAAAGTTCCTTTGCCTTCTTCATTTCACTGCCTGAGTTCTAATACAGGGTTCTGTTGGCCCTGAATTTGTACTGTGCGGTACCCTTTGTGTTTCCATATTGGGATGGGTGAGAGGAGGAAGATGCTTTTTGGGAGTCAGATCTGTTTAATTTTGAGCAAGTGTCTTAGTTTTTTGTCTTAGTTGTCTTTAATGTTAAGTCCTAGAACTCAGAACCATGGCTGTCAACACAGGGTTACTGTGAGCATAAAGTAAGGTGATAATATTTGTGAAAGAACTTTGGGAGCCATGAGCTCTGTGGGATTATGTGTTAGGATGGTGACATCTCTTGTGCTTTCCTGGGGAGAGTAGGCAGCCTCAGACCTCGGAAGGACAGCACCCACTTGGTCCAAAGGGTATGAGACCTAGGACTGTTTGTCTAAGCTGTCTATGGTCAAAAGTACATTCTGGACTGAAGAGATGGTGATGTAACTGGGCTGTGTGTGTATTGAAAAATCCCTCTTTGCTCTTTCCTCATTTCAGGTTTGTCCTTTGAGTCAAGTTAAATATTTATTGAGTGTTTCTGAGTACAAAAGTAGTGTATTAGAGAGTTGGGAGGGATTACAGAAGTAAAGCCCTTGCCCTTATAGAGTGTGTGGTCTTGTTGAAGATCAAGAACAAAATGTGTGTATGTGAAGAGAGATGTATGGTAAGTTCAAGTGGAGCCAACACTTGGGTGCTGGCTGGAGGGTTTCAGGAGAGAGTTTGGGACCTCAGGGCTGGGAGAATGGGGCAGAGCAGCTCAGGTTGAGGAATTTGGGCAATATGGATGGGTTGATGGTGCAGAGCTGAAGATGGACACACTGAGCAGGCTGGGGGTTCTAACAACAAGATACGGGAGGATCAGGAGCCACCGAGAGACTGTGACCAGCATGACAAAGATTAGTCTTTTAGTATGATGTTCAGGATGGGTCAAAAAGGGAGCTAGATGCCAGATCAGGTCATGTATCATCTCTGAGCACTTTGTTTCTGCAGTTCAAATGAAAATTAAATATGTTATTGACAGCAGTTCTTGAACACTCACTGGGCTGGAATGGGCAGATCACATACCTCGTTTTACCTGTTGGACTTGTCACGTGGGGTTTGTATCAGGATAGTGGGAAGGTCACATGTTATTTCTCCATTTTTTTAGTTCCAAATACATGGCCATCTCTTGACCATATTGCACATTGAAGTGTTCAATACACACTTATTTTTTCTTTGACATGTGTGGTTGGGGAAAGCCAGCTTCTGTTATAAGTCTAGTTTTAGGCAATAATTTCCATTTCCTCAAGCACTAGTCTTTTCACTTGAGTTACTGATATCTTCCTCCTTTCTTTTCTGGGGTGCCCTGTTGTAGGAGTGCTAATTATTAATATTTTAACTATAAGGTAGCAAGTGTGAGGAGGCTGTGTTATCCACAAGTGGAGTAATTAATTCTTAAATAGTAGAAAATAGGCCCTGTAAGTTAGAAAAACCTTTTTATATATTTATAAATAGCAGCAACCATGTTCTTTCACTGAACTTTTTCTGCTTCTCCCGTCAGCATACCAGGAGGCGGATTGGGATCGCCCAGGTCCTGTGTGGTGTCTGTTCTGGGCTTAGGTTCTTAAGAGAGAGACTCATTGGCTACAGCAGTGGGAATGGACAGAGAATAGAAAGTGTTCTTAGGTGTTGTACTTCAAAGGGAGCCTGGATCATGACCCGCAGAGAGGCAGGTGTCTTTATGCCTTCCAAAATTGACTTGAACCATTTCTAGGGGAAGCATGTCTGTCGGAAGTGAGGGGTGGGGTTGAGGACCTCCAGCTTTATACTTTCCACTCTCTTTATTGTTTAGATGTTTTCGCCATGACCTTTTATAATAATGAAAAAAATTAATTACGGTACTAATTCAGTAAATACAGTTGGAAAACAATAGATTTGGAAGTCCTAGTTTGTTACTACAGTTCCACGAATACTTGCCAGCTTTATAAGTGATTTTTTCTGTTCTGGAGTTCAAGCAGAATGACATCCTTAACTCCAGGCTGCAGGTACTCTGTACGTGTGTCACCTCAGATGGCGAACCGGATTGTGGATTCTGCAAGGAGCATCCTCAACAAGTTCATACCTGATATCTATATTTACACAGATCACATGAAAGGAGTCAACTCTGGGAAGTAAGTATCTGTGTTTTTGAAGTCTGTTTCTGCAGCTTTTTCACATGCCTGTTCTAGTTGAAGTTAAAACTGCCAGCTCTGAGGTTGCGCAGCCAGAGGAAGAACAATTTCAGAATTAATTTCCTTCTGACTTCTTGCTGTTGTCACCAACAGGCATTTCTTGAGTGCCTGTCACATGGAAAGCATCCCAGTGACTAGAGCTGGAAGCTGAGGGTCTCGTTCCTAGCCTTGGGGAATTAAAACCTTTATCTATTAACACACAATGCTTTAAGCTTTAAATTCCATCTTCACTCTGTTCCAACAAAAAAATTAAAGCGAACAGGTTCTTCCACCCTGAGTAAGTAACAGTATAGGGTTAAAATCTTTTGTTATCTAAGTGTAAGTCGACATCTCTCTTCATCAGTGGAAACGACATATTTACATCCCGAGAAAGTTGCTATTGCAGATTTGAATTTGGTTTAGTGAAAACCTTTGCTTTGCTAAAAAATAAAAATTTTAAAAATTAGAAAAACATCCTAAATACGGAAAATAAGTTCTTAAAAAATGATGCTCTATGTAATGAAGATGACTGTTTTAGGCTTTGCTTGTGTATTTAGCAACTAGGAAGTTAGAGAAGCAATTAAAGCCACTTTCTTGAATTAGGAAAATGTTAAACTTACAGAAAAGATCTCAGTGAACACTGAGATATACTCCTGCTGCCTATAGTTAACAGTAAATATTTTGCCAAATTTGCTTTACTTGTTTGTGGGTTTTGTTTGGTTTTTTTTTACTGAATCATTTCAGTGTGAATGATGGCATAATTTCACTTCAAATCTGAGGCTTACAGGTTGTGTCTCCTAAAAATAAGAATATTAGAGTCTGGGGTTAACTGTTGTAGGTTAAGAAGTCAACTTCTTCTTAAGTGATACCACAGCTGATTCTTTTCCACAGCTGTTTCACCTGTGGTTTCTTTTAATTTCAGCAAAAAGAGGAAAAGAGAGTAAAGGAGGGGGGTGAGTGTTTTATACAATCTTTGACCTTTATAAGGCCCAATGGAAAGATGAAGGTGGTTTTAGAAATACAGTGGAGGCTCATAGTCCAAAGCAACAAAGCTGGTGGCATCAGATGCTGGGATTGGGAAAGGATTTGTGGGCAAAGCTGGCCTTTCTGGCTTGGAAAAGTCAATGATGGTTCCTAAACCTTTGGTTTATATTCTAGTAACAACAGTATTTTCCTCATTTATACATTGAGGATGTTGATGCCTATGTTTTGAGATTATTGTAAAGATCACATATATAAGCCGTTACTACCTTGCTTGCCACATAGTAGGTCCTACAGAAATGGTAGCTCCTGATGCTGTTCTTTCCTTTACCCTCCCTTGTTGGCCACAGGTGTGGAATTATGTGTCAGCTATTTTCTGGAGAAAAGGGGTTTTCGAGGGATGGGGGAGGACAGATAGCAGAAGCTGTCTAAGTGGCTTCATCTCGATAGTCCCTTCTCTGCTTTGCCTCTCGCTTTATCAGAAAGTGTCCTGGAATGAAGCAGAGCAGGCCTGACGGCCATCCTGCCACCAGCTTATAGTGTGACTTTTTGTAATACCACTGACTCAGCTGACCCTAGAGTGTGGTCAAGTCCATACTTACTAATGGTGAGTAGAAACCTTACACATAGATCAAGACACGGACATGATGTAGACTGTGGGTCATCAACTCCAAGCCCCATTTTAAAAATTACATGTAAAACCAATGTGGGATTTAAATTTGTGTTTGTTTTTTTTTTTAATCTCCAGTTACAGATGACTAATAGTGCTCTTCCTTCTCTGTTATTAAAATAATAAAGTCATGGATGGGTATTTCTCTCTTCTGATTCAGTGAAGTATCCAGCAAGTTAGGCTTGTTCAGATGTAAGAGTTTCTGTTGTGGCCATGGCCTAGAACCTTAGCAGACAGCAGTTCTTGGTGGCCTGTGTCAGCGCTTTGGCCAGAATGCACATCAGTCCAGTGTGGTCCCATTTTAACTCTCACAGTAATTATTTTTTTTTCTTAATTGGATCCTTTACCAAGGAAAGCTGTGGAGGCTGGCCTTTGCAAACTATACCAGTGCAGATCTCTCATGAGGTCACCTGGTGACCAGCAGCTTGGTCAGCCTAACTTGAAATAGGCCTGATAACATGTATTTCCCACAAGTTGGGAAGAAAAGTTAGAGTAATTTACGTAGAACCTAGTATATGTTCTTTGTCTTTTCTGAAGTTACTTAAATTGTGTTAAATGGAATAATCCTGATTAAATATAAAGTTTATTGTAATGACAAATGCACCTCAGAAAACTCACAGAGATGGAAGTTCTTGGGAAATGCAGGTAAATGGGGTAAAGCAGCAGTGGCAGCTTGTCTTCTTGCTTTCTCTCCCCTTCATCTTCTACTCTTCACTTTTGCCTGCCACTGCCTAGAGCCACTGCTGGACACCCTCTCACTCCTGCTGGTCAAGTGACTCAAAGGCAGCTTGGGATTATGCTAAAATTTTCTAGGTGTCCCATGATGATAGGTGGATAGCACAGTGTTAGATTGTTAAACATAACTCAGAGTGCCTCCCAGAACCTTTGACGAAATGGGTAACTCACTGCACCCCCTTCCCTTGGCAGGTGTTGTTAACCTTCACCTGCATAGACAAGCAATTTTTTTTTTCCTTAAGAATATAAGGACTGACTAATATAGTTCTTCCATATGTAGTGAGCTCATATAGTGCATTTGAAGCATCATTAATTTTATACATAGTTTTACTGAAACAAGTATTTTGACTAGTCTCCTGCCGGACACATAGAAAGTATTGTGTGAACATGTGTTGAGTTGTGTTAAAGGGGGCAGGTCTGTATTGTGTTTGCATATGGATTGTACTGCTGGGAAGGCCGCCACACCTTTCCTGATGATGTGTCTGCTTAACAGGCATTGGGAAAGTAGAATTGAGCTGTCAAATCTTAAAATTTTGTGGAGAGATGCTTATTTTTGGACTGATTTTCTTTTCTGGTCAGCTAGTAAACTAGTAGCAACTCTATGAGGTTAATGCAGCCAGAAAGAAGCCTTTGAACACAGTGCCGTCCAAAAAAAATGTTTGTCTTCTCTTTCTGTTTGCCGGTGAGTGGAAACCTCACTTGGTTAACCCTACTCAGTGTTTGTGCCTTTGTATCCGCAGGTCTCCAGGCTTTGGGTTGTCACTGGTTGCTGAGACCACCAGTGGCACCTTCCTCAGTGCCGAACTGGCCTCCAACCCCCAGGGCCAGGGAGCAGCAGTACTTCCAGAGGACCTTGGCAGGAACTGTGCCTGGCTGCTGCTGGAGGAAATCTATAGGGTATGTCCACAGCTTCCTCTGATAGAGGAGTGACCAGGAAGCAGTTTGTTTTCTCATTCTCATCCCTTGGCAGATTTCATCCTCTTCCAAGGGCTCAAGCCAAGGAGGTAACCTGTTCCTATGCATTAAGCAGTTCAGCATTAACTAGTTTAATTGATTAGTTGAACTAGTCAGTGAGTAGAGATCTAGCCCCACTGGGTTGAGACATAGGGCAGGTAAGTTTTAACAGTGAGCCAAGGAAAGAACTGGAACAGTCATAAAGGAAAGGAAAGGTTAAAAAAATGAAGCAGGTAAGGTAAGGTGGTGGCTGACACACAGCCCTAACCAAAGAGAGTACCATCCCGGCACCCCCCAATTGCTGCCATGTAGGAAGGTAGACTCATTCTTTTTAGATCTTTCAAGAGAAGCTAGAAATCTGGATTTGTATGTGACAGCTGATTCATATATAAAACAATGGCAACAGGCTAGATTTTGCAGTGCATTGTAGAGCACAGAATCTCAGTTAACAGATGAGTATCAAAAAAAAAAGAAAAAAATTAAAAAAAAAAAGCACAGAATAACTAGGGAAGGCAGGCCTGCGGAACAGCATGGCAGAAGCTTTGGAAAACCTGAGAACATGGAACAGAAAAGGGGTGAACTGATGTTGAAGACAGACTCAACCGGTTGTCATTTTGCTTCTGCAACTCTGCTGGTGGGACACAGCTCAGACCAATCTGCCCTCTCAGTTGCCACAGTCTTTCTCTGTTGATCCTTTCACGCAGCGGGCACGTATGCGCACACTTCTACCGTTTCCTCAAAATAGGTGAGGTGACATAAAGTAAGAGAGAAATTAGGAGGAAAGATGATGGCAGAAAGAGTAAGATACAGTTGTCTAAAAAATATATTCCCCAAGGTCCCCTATACTTGGTTAGAAGAGGATCACAAATCTGGGTCCAAGATTTCTGTTAGTCTGCACTGTCTTTTGCCTTGGTCCCATATCAAGAAGGTGAAACCTTTTCTCTGACACGCAGAGTCCAGGAAAAGAGATCCTGGATTGTCAGAAAGGCTCTGAGGGGTGGTCATTTCTCTGCTCTGTGTGTTAGGTCCCAGATTCTTGAACTGGAGCATTGGCAGGAACTATACTCTAGGTGGTTTGCTGTTGTATGGTGTATAATGTTTGTAAATCATCTTCTTCCCCTAAGGAGCTGAAGAGACTTCTGTCTTTGTATTTCTTCTCAGTTGTCAGGCATCTCTCTGGTCTCCAAGTGAGTTTTCCCGTTTAAGGTAGCAAAAATCACATCTGAGCCAAGTGAAATAAAATCAGTAAAACAGGTAAAGTGGCAATTTAGTTTTTCTTTTAATTCTTCCTTTTGCCACTGGTTCAGTTTATTAATCAGGGTGGTGGAGTAAAGCCTGAATATCCGTAGGTATTGATCCTCAGACCGGCCTCACGGTGGAAAACAGCTTATGTTTATAGTCTACTCCCTTGATCCAAGTCAGTGTTCTTGAAAACGTCTCGTTGATCCAAGATGGAACATGTGAGAATGAGCTGTTTCAGAATTAATTAAAATTTCCAGGTCCTAAATGGCTCTATTTAATGACCATCTAATTAAAAATGGAAGACAGTGGGCCTATGGTTTTATTTTCAGGAGAGCAGCTCCAGCCCCTCTACTCGGCATTCGCCTGGGAAATAGTGGAAGAAGGAGATGAAATCTTCCTGAAGGAGGAGGTATTATTTGACCAGTCTTGCGCAGTCACGATCTGGCCTCAGATTTTTTCGTGCTAAATCAGTTTAATTTTTTTATATAAAATTTAATAATTTTGTGAAAGATGGATAGTAACTAAAAGTTTGGGGTAGATGATCAAGAGGTTGCCCTGCCAGTTACTTAAGTTTGTGATCTACTTATTTGTAGCGGGGGGCGGGAAACAGTGCGTGTGATGTGTCTCCGTGGGTCCCTTGTTGTACAGGATTTCTTTTCCTGGTCCTGTAGTGTCTGGCGGTGGCTGGTCCTGTAGTGGCCCTCTCTCTAACTGTGGGGACACTTCCATCTCTTTCTAATAGACCTTAGGAGAATTAGAAGCATCACGTTATACAATAGTCCAGTGGGAGCCATGGGCATAGCTAGAGTGTGAGGTTTATATCCTTATAAATAGGTTATAAGCCTCAGGGTGAAAGCACAGCCTACTAGTCGACAAGAGGAAAAACATACAGTTTAAATTAGGTTCTTTAATATTTTTCTTTTTCTTCTTCTTTGCTTTTTTTTTTTTTTTTTTTATATATATGCAGAGATACTCACAACTTTCCCAAGGCTGGAGTGCAGTGACGCAATCTTGGCTCACTGCAGCCTCTGCCTCCCAGGTTCAAGTGATCCTCCTGCCTTAGCCTCCCACGTAGCTGGAGGCATACGCCAGCATGCCTGGCTAATTTTGTATATTTAGTAGAGACAGGGTTTCTCCATGTTGGTCAGGCTGGTCTTAAACTCCTGACCTCAGGTGTTCCACCCACCTCGGCCTCCCAAAGTGCTGGGATTACAGACGTGAGCCACCGTGCCTGGCAATTTTTTTTTTCTTTAGTTGAGATCTACTTTCAGTCTTCCATTGTGCCTGGACCAAGTTTCATTTTCTTTTAGTTATTCAGAAAACTTCCTTTGTGTGTCTATGATCTTTAATTATTAAAAGGATGGAAATACTTCGTGTTTTTCTGATTAATTTTCTGTAGAGTTGTGATGTGACATGGATTGAATGAGTGGTAAAAAATCCATACCTTTTGAAGGCGCTGTTTATCAAGTTTTAAGCCTCTGATCTAATCCCTCCTATTCCATTTATGCCTCGTCGGTTACCAAGCCTTCTTGATTCTGTCCCAGGCTTTCTGGAACTGCCTTTTTGTTCCTCTGCTCTAATCACTGCCTGCCTCCCTGCTCCACCCCACAACTGGATTATGGCTACTGGCTCTCTGCACTTCCAGCGGAGAAGTTCTTTCCAAATCCTAACATCCTTTTCAGTCTAAATCTTCCCCTAAAATCCTGATCTGATCTCTTCGCTCGTGTGCACAGAGACCTTCACTGGCTTCTCACTTTCCTGGAACAAAGTCAGAATTCTCGACCCATTTCAGAAAGCACTGCCTTAGTTGGGCTACCCACCTTTTCTATGCTGTATGTGCTTCTCCGCAGGCAGAAGTGGTGCCTTCCAGGCTGGTCGCCTGGCCGTTCCTTGCTGGCCCTGGCATTTTGTTTTTCCCCATCATTCTGTTCTTCCTTCCTCCCCAAACCCTGCTTATCCCTCCAGGGCTGTCTCAAGTAGTCCTGACTCCTAAAGCTCCCCCTCTCGTATCTGGCAGGTAATACCTCCCTACCCAGCCTGGCATAGGTAGGGTGATAGCTCCTACCACTTCCTCCATGATGTCCTGTACAGGGACCTTAGCATATCTCTTGCATTAAAATATTGGTCCAGTGAATGGTGAAATAACAACAGTGATAGGAAGCAGAGACTGAAGAGAACACTTTAATTTTAGGCTGTCTTATGAAAGGGAGCAAGATCTGTAAAATATTTTCGTTGGTTGTCATATTTTCCATGGGTCAGGTTTTTCTTTTTGGGTAGAAAAGGAAAATGATCTGTCCTTGTCCTGGAATTTGCTATGTGATATAAATGTTGTTCCCTGTTCTTTATTAGGTAGTTTAGGGACGTGCAATAGATTTTCATAAAGGCTAGCAGTTAAGATCAGTCCTTATTTCCTTCACCATTATTAGGGCTACTAAATGATTTCTGACAGCCAGAGATGCACCTGAAAATGGATTTATTTCCTACCCTACATGCCTTAAAAAGGAGGTGGGGCAGTTGTACCCACATGAACAGCACTGCTGGCCACCTATCCTGTTCAGTCTAGCCTTGGATAGTAACGTGCCTTGGTCAGAGACGATTTCTAATTGTGACCTGTGCAAAATATGTAGAAATTCAAGGTCATCCTTCTTTCACTATGTACAATATGTTTTAAATAAAGTTATTCCTGAAAGAATGATCAGAACACGTTTGTATACTTACGTATGCATCTAGTGGAAGCAAAACAGCTAAAATGACTGAGAAAAAAACAAAATTAGAAAGGCAACCTAAGCAGTTGTAACTCAGGAGAAAGTGTTTGAAGAGAAGTCTGTTCTGCCTGTTAATTTGGGAGAAAGGGAAGGAAAAAAGGGGGTGGAAGGCATAATTTTATACGTAAGTAATAAGAATGAAGGGATCTGACCTTAATGATTCTTCAGTTTTAAGGAACTCAGGAGGAGATAAAGGAGAGAAGTTAATAGAGCATGGCAAGCAGTTTCCTGAATGTATTTGAATAAGTGTAAAAGGAAGGCCATGAAAAGGCCATTTCATGTCAGATAGACTGTGTTGTTCTGTGACAGATTAAATAAATATGAGCGTCATCCACTTAACCCTTGGAATTAACTCTACATCTTGTAGAACTGATTAAGCTTTTTTTTTTTTTGCATATACTCAATAAAGATGATGTCCTCCTGCTGCTGCTTTAATTACAAAGGGAAAGTTTCTTTTTTTTTTTTTTACTAGATTCACTTAAGAAGATTTGAATCTGATAGTCTCATTCTGATAGTCTCAACTATTACAGTTGCTCTAATTGTTAGTTTAACCCTCTACAGTCAGTTGATGTAAGGATTACTCTTATAAGACCTGTATTCTGTTTTATTGTTGCTTGAACTTTAGATTTTGATATTATGAGTGTATGTTTCTGTATTTTTTTTTTCTCCTCTCTTTTGTTGGCTTTCCATTTTCTGGTTTGTACAATTATTAATTTGTGTTTACAGGGTGGATGTGTAGATTCAACCAACCAAAGCCTGGCACTACTACTCATGACCCTTGGACAGCAGGATGTTTCCAAAGTCCTGCTAGGCCCTCTGTCTCCCTACACGTAAGTTATTCTTTTTCAACCTCGTTATTCTGTCCAGTTTAATTTTCTCATTGCCCAAAATGACAAAGGTGTTGTGCTGCACAGAGCCTGCACTATGAACACCTGCTTGTATTTATCCTCAAATCAGCCAGCAGTTGTCACTCTTAACCTGGTGTTTATTTTTACATACAAGGATTTTTGCCTTCTTTCCTTCCTCAGTCCCATGTAACTAAAGTTGCATGATCTCTATTGGACAGTTACTTTGTTCGTGCTTTAGGTTTTGTTTCCAGGTTAGAGGAAACTCCTGGTTTGATGTAGCTTGGATTTTATTACTAGTTTTTTTTTTAAATCATTCTTTTCCTTAGCTGTCTAACTTACTGTGGGAAAACAGGCTTTTTGTCTAAGATGATGGGGTATGAGCTCACTGGAAAAGATGACAAAAGACAGAGTTTGTATTAATGCTACTGGACTAGTAGGGAATTGTAGAAGTGAGTTTGGACCGTTGAATGTTAGCAGAAGTTGACTGCTGTGGTATGAAAGCAAGCACTCTTCAAAAAGAATAGGGTGTCAGAAGACTGGAATTATAAATGACACCGTGAAAGAAGCATTTCCTGTTGATAGTAAATGAGGTTGCGAAAAACAGCCTATTTGAGTACTGACATTTTGTGTGTGTGTATGTTTTCACGTGCTTGGATACTTAGAAATCATCATATGGGCCATCTAAGGGTGGTGAGCTGGGTGGCGGGGAATATTCAGGTAGATATGAGACTGAACTGTCCTTTTTCGGTTATCATGGTACCGATGCTGTATATCTGAAAGGTACAGTACTGTGATAACTGAAGAATGGTGGTGCCATCACATTGAGAAAGGGGTGGGGACTGTGGTGGAGCTATGCAGCCTTGGGCTGTGGCTTTGTGGGCATGAAAACCAGGAGCTTGAAATAAATTATTTTGGAGGCTTTTTTTTTTTTTTTGGAATTGGTGGTAGGAGGATTTTTTTGGAACAGAAAAATGGAAGAGAATACATTGTGTTAGCAGAGAGGGAAGACTGGTAAACAGGAAACTCGTGAGGACCACATTATCTCCTGATAGCTTGTGTAAAAGTATTTTGCAGGACAGGATACCTAAGATTGAGTAATCCTAAATGGCATGGTAACATCAGTAGTAAACATTGCTAAAATAGACTTGGTAGTTAAGTACTTGGAGAGGAGATGAGGGCTGCGAGAACGGCACCCTAGGTACAGAGACTCGCTTCCTGTAGAGAGCTCACTGGAGGCGGCTGCCAACTGTGTGACCACCATGGCCCCGCCAGCTTTGTAGCTGGGCTCATAGCTGCCGTTTCCCAGCCCTTGCTTCAGGCCTGGAGAAGTCCTGCTTGCACACATGGTATGGGGTGTGGGGTGTTGTCTTGAGTGTGTGTGGTCCTGGAGCATGGGGTTTGGCAGAACATTCTGTGAAAATGGAATATATATATATATATATATATTTTTTTTTTTCTTGACACTTTTTTCTTTTGCTTTTGGAGATTTTTCAATTTGACCCCAGGACCTGTATAATCTTTTCAAGCTTTGCAGAGATGCTCAAGATGTGACTGGACATTTTTTAAAGTTCCTGTGTCCTCTTCAACACATGTTCTCACCAAACATTAATTGTAGTGTCTTTTCTTCAGAAAACTTGCCTAAAATGACTTTCTCTCCTGGGAAGACAAAGTGTCCTGCTCTGAATGGAGCTTTAAAGGAGTAGCACAAATTGTAAGATGATGTATCTTGAGGCTGGGGCTTGGAGACATTCTGCTGCCTCCCAGAGCTTTGTGCAGAGGGGTCTGCCGGGGTGGGAAAGGGAAGCCTCCTTTCTTTTTGATAAACTAGCATAAGGACGGGTAAGGGAGTCTATTTTCAAGAAAGCTGGATCTGTTTAGTACTCTTTCTGCCCCTAATCACTGTGGACAGCTCCAGCAGCACAAAGAGATGAAGGGCAAAGACAGGACACAGCAGGCAAAGCTAACATTGTATTTGTGAGCATAGTTGAGGATAAAAAAGGGATGAAATCCATGGTGAGGACCATCATAGTGGGGGAACAGTTTATTCTAGATGGATTCAAGAGCTTTGGAGACCAAACTAACACATTTATTTTTATGTGCAGTTAAAGTCATAGAAACCTGTTTTGTGAAACCTCAGATTTCTAAAGAAAACCAGAAGCAAGACCTTCCTTGGTTAAAAAAAAAAAAAAAAAAAAGCATTTCTTCAAGCAGTTTGGACCTGTTTTCATTTGTACAAAATAGATTTTTAAATGTCTGTTTGAAGAGCGTTGGGATTGCTGTTGGTGGTTTTCTGTGCTACTTGAGAAAGTAAGTCTGTATGTGTGAAACTTTTTTTTTTTTGAGGCAGAGCTTTGCTCTGTTGCCCAGGCTGGAGTGCAGTGGCGTCTCCGCTCACTGCAAGCTCTGGCTCCTGGGTTCACACCATTCTCCTGCCTCAGCCTCCTGAGTAGCTGGGACTACAGGTGCCCGCCATCACGCCTGGCTAATTTTTTGTATTTTTAGTAGAGATGGAGTTTCACCGTGTTAGCCAGGATGGTCTCGATCTCCTGACCTCGTAACACACCCGCCTCGGCCTCTCAAAGTGCTGGGATTACAGGCGTGAGCCACTGCGTCCAGCCAATGTGAAACTCTTTTAGAAAGGCCCAAGAGATTTTTTTTTCAGTAGAATAAAATATTATTGGATAATCACTGGTATATGAAGATTCTATTTCTGTTAAATTTGAGTTTTAGGTGGCTTACAGTTAGTGACAGTAGTTGCACCCTCCATTCAACAAGCTTAATTTTACAGTTTAGGGAGGGAGGATTTATACTTTTGGATTAACAGCAAGAAAAATAGCAAAAATTAAGATGCATCTTAATTAGCACTTTCAGAAATTGTTTGTGGAATGAGACTGCAGTTACAGAGCTCTCTGCATTCTGCCAGTGCACAGGCCTTGGAGTCCAGCCTATTTGAACTTAAGGCTCTGCCACTTGCCACCAGGAGACCATGGAAATGGTGTTTAGCATCTTGGAGCCTTGGTGTCATTTGTAGATAAGGTGCATAGTCCTGAAGTCCTGGACTTGTGGAAATGGAATGAAGCTTAGATGAAGTCAGATGCTTATGCTTCTGGCAATGTGCCTGAGGAGCTGTCAGCGCTGGGTGCTGTGGTTTCTGCCTGGACACCCCCTCACCCTGCTGCAGTCCAGTCCCTTGGTTAGGTCACTTTTTTTTTTTATTTTTTAAACTGCTCCTTGAGGAGCAGGACTACCCCATAGGCAGTGTGGCCACAGTAGCCCGGTCAGGTCACTTTGAACCCCAGGAGGACTGGTAAACTTGCTTTGGGTGATTTTAGGGTTTAAGTCATCTGTAAGTGGTCTGCCCAGCTACCTATAAATCTATATCCATTAATTTTAAATTATAAATTAAAAATTTTTAATTTCTAGTTATTATTTTTATGACTGACTTTCCCTAGTCACATTACTGAGCAAACTACACACATCTTATTGATCCTAAGAATTCTCTAAGGTAGATGTTTATTTAAAAAACACCATGTTTACTGTGTGCAAGATGTTGTTTTAAGTGCTCACATATTAGCTTATTTGGTTTTCATCATAACTTTATAAGGGCAAAAAAGGCAAGTACTATCATGTGCACCATCTTACAGGTGGTGGGATTGAGACACAGAGAGGTCAAGTTACATGCCCAAGTTACATGCCCACAGAGAGGTCAAGTTACATGCCAAGTTACATCACACAGACAGTAAGTGGGGTTCAGACCTGGACAGTCTCCTCCAGTCACTGCTTCCCTTACCCACTGTGCTTTTATGTAAGAGCTGGGATTCCATCCATATCACTGGACTCAAAGCACCTTGCCTGAGGCAGGATGCCATGCTACATCTTTTCAGCAAAGTCCTCGTTTCAAATTCTGCTGTAAAATGATCTCTTTCTATCTTTAGTTGGAAATCTAAAATAAACCATGACTTTTTTTTTTTCTGACTTTAATTAATGACCTTTTTCCATGACTGTGGAAGTGCTAAGGAGCTAGAAGACACTGTCCTTGTTAGACACAAACTGACTGGGGCTTCCTGGCCCACTCAGTCTAAAGCAAAGCCCTCTGAAGAACCGTGAGGAAACCAATGGGGAAACTGGGAACTGCCAGCCAAACCTGCCACTCCTTGGGGTCAGTGGCCTCACTGCATTCCGTGAGCTTGCACAGTACCACTGTGTCTTAGGTTTGTGAAGCATTTAAATACTGTAAAGCCCCGTCACCTGATGTTTAAGCCCCAGAACATATTTGGTGTATGGTAAAAGCAAGTGATAGGCTTCCTTCTCAGATAAAAAAGAGGTCAGTGACCTGCTCATGGTGAGATCCTGTCTGAACTGGGCCTGGGACCCCGTCTCCTGACAGTGCAGCTAGTCTGATTCTCTGTTTCCTGCTGCCCCAGTAACAATGTAGTAACTTCATTTTTGGAGCAGAGGTCAGCTGGTCTTTGGAAAAGCCACTATTTCGCAGAACAAGCATCAGCAGTATATTTAAAAGCTGCCATGTAATGACTATAGGGACTCCATCCAGCAGATCCTTTTCTTATCTCCAGATTTTTCCCCTCAACTTGCAGAGCATCTCTTTACACCTGAGATGTAGGTACCCCCAGCTCTGTCCCATATCCAGTGGCATAGAAACCAGGTGGCTTGATGGAGCAGGACGCAGGACCCTCTGTTGTGGTTTGTGCCTGTGGGAGCTGCCAGAGAGAGGGCTTACCCCATGATTGCCCTCACCCCATTCTCTGACATGCGTCAAAAGAGGGGTCTGGTGGGAGGGGCTGTGTTTAAGGGTGGGATCTGGCAGCCTGTTAAATCCTGGTCACTTGGGATTCAATGGACCTATGACCATGAGCCTCATGGCCTTTCCTGTTGACCAGCAGTGGCAGTGGGAACAACTCACCTTTTGAAAATACATAGGAAGGCCGGGCGCGGTGACTCACACCTGTAATCCCAGCACTTTG